TTTTTCAACACTACTCTCCTGTGCAACTCATTGCCCTTTCAGTAACTGACCTCTTCATGATTTTCAGTGCATGCTTATTTGAAACACTGCTCTCTGGCAACACATCTGATTATATTCAATATCAAATCAACAAGGTGGTTTTACAAATAAGTAAATAAGATTTGGGGTTGGAGTAGACTTTATGCTCACAGACAATTAACTCAGATCTCCCAACATTTGGGAGGAAGTAACTTGTCTTATGAAAGCTACGTTTTAGGATTAAACACAGAATGACCTGGGGATTAATTAATGTTTTTGAGTGTTCAGATTTGTTAACTATATTATAACATACAGATCCACCTCGAAGCAATGGAGAGAGGGTGGGATTTTTTATTTTTTTATTTTTTGACATAATCATGCAGAATATTCACTAGCTTTGTCTAAATATTTCCTCTGTTATTTCTATGGCAGACATTTTCATGCTTCCACAGAGCAAACATGCAGCTGTCCTAAGCCAATGAAGCATAGTGAAGCTTAATCTGTTGAAACATTGTCTTCATTTAGATGTAGTCTGACCTCAGGTAAGGTAATAAGAATCTTATTAGAGCAGTGAGACAATCAATACCAAACTCAAAAAACAGATGTTTTTCTCCCATACTCCAATCTAGTTTGCCCAGCAGGCTTGCAAACAAAAAAGTGGGTGAGCGTCTGTTGTTAGACCCAGGTAACCAATAGAACAATAAAACAGAGTGTCAAGGGAGGAGGTGCTAATACATCACGCACATTGATTGTGTAAACTGTTTATTTAACTCTTGGGAAACTGCTGAAACTACTATTAAGGCATCATACCCAAACTCTTGTGTGTAGAAGAATCTTACTTTAGGTGAGATGTGTGTGGTTTCCAAATGCCTTTCCAAATGCCTGTAAAAGTCATGGCAGATAAACAGGAAGGCAGGAAGAGCTTTCATGCTTTTCGATACACCACACCATCTTCCTGTGCAATTCACGTCCTTTATAAATAGTCGTGGCTTCATACTCCCATACAAAGAAGCAAGCTTTTTTCTTCCATTTTGCATGAGTATCAGAGAGTTTGAAAAAGTTCAGTTGAGCAGAGCCAAGAATGGAGGGTATGCCCCTAGCTTACTCTTTCAGAAGGCACATGGTAAAAGCCATGTTCTTGACTTGGCTGACTGTATCCAAAAGCTTTGCTGCTCACATAGCCAGAAACAGGATGTAGGAACAGTAATGCTAAAATTCCTGTGCTATATCACAGCTATACAAGGCACAGAGGAACAGAGTTGTGTCACAATGTAGCTATCAGGCTGCAGAGGGGATAAAAAATTCTTTTTACTGACTATTTCAGCTTAATGAAGGCTGCAACTGCAAAGTCTCTGAGAAGCCTGTGTTCAAAGCTTGCTTTCAAACCTGGCATCAGACCTGGCATGTGCTCATGCTCATGTGAAGGAAGGCATACCACAAGTACTTGCCTGTGATCCATGAGAAATCTGTGAAGCTATCCTGGCTGCATGTATACTTATAAAGACGGAAATTAGCTCATTAAAATAATGTGTCAGAATTGTTCATACATATAGCTGCAAAACTTGGCAAGAATTGTCTCACATAGAAATCCTAGACAGGAGAATGAATGACTGTAGGAAAGACAAAGAAAACAGAGAAGGGTAAATATTTCTCATGGCATGACAATAAAATATTTAGCCTGAGATATCGATTGGCCTGAATATTAAACAGCTTTGCCAGCTGAATACTGGCCAAGTGGCAAGTGGCAACCTCTCTGCAGCCTGATATATACCCAAATGAAAAGGTTTTGGGTGCCAGATACCAGGAAGCCAATGCTTTTAACACCACCACCCCATAATTTATAGCATCTTGGTTTGTGCTACTGCAGTTAAGGGTCTGTTAATGTTTGTCTTCTGAGTTCTAATTCTCAAAGGTTTATAATTTGGCCATTAACATGCTCTCAGTATTGAAACCTCGGCATACACAATGGCTAGCCAAGAACAGTTTTTAGGTAATTTTTTAGGAAGAATGTTACTTGGTTTCCAAAATATGAGAAAGGAAGGAAAGAAGGCAGGAAGGAATGACTAGTTAAAATAGTTAAAAGTTATAATTTTCTTGTGTTCTCGATGACTAGAAATGGCTTGTATTTTAAAACATGAATTATTGCTAGGAAGTGATATTATTTTTCTTGTTTTTAAGCTGTTTTTAAGATGAAGCCCTTTGCAGGAACCTAACCTTTCAAATAATTTTTGAATGGCAATTGTTCAAAAAATTTCAGGCCCTCAAAATGCCCACACATACATGTGGTGGCTGGAGGAGTGAAACACACTACTGTAAGTTTAAAACTGCAATTAGTAAGAACAAGAAAGAAATACATACTTATGAATATTTTCTATCACTTTACAGCCCGCACTATTAAAATATTTTAACTTCTGATGTGCAGAATTCCTCTGAGTGTTTTTCTGGCTGGGTTAAACAAAGGAGTTTTAGCACCAAAAGTACCTGTTCAGCTCTAAGGAGATCTTGTTTTTCTTCATTTAAATCAAGCTACAGAACAAATATTTAGTATCTGTGGATACCCAGGAATACCATTGTGGCCCCTACACCACACTTTAGGTCTTTGTGGCTCACTTTACTTACTTGGATGGCATTGGGCAGTGAGAAACGGAAATTCTGAGCTAAAATCAACACCAAATACTTTATGCTACAGTGACACCTGACTTTTCACTTGAGCAAAACCTTCAGAACTAATTTTGGCTTCTTACAATTGGTCTCATCTTAATAGGTGTTGAGTAGTTGTGCATTTTAGCAAGAGTTGTATTCAGTATGATTCTATGATTCAGTGTTTCTCAGAATGAAGTCTGTAATCCTGAAATCTAAAGCTGCTTTTGTCATTTGAAACAAGGACACACTGTTCAGTTCCTTTCCACTTCTACCATATTAACCTACAATAGTGCCTGCTATAAGATGCATAGCATTCCCTAATAAACCTCTAGTTACACAAGTATGTACAAGTACTATGTTGTAAACACCAAGTATTTAAAGACATCCTATATAAGGTAACAGCTTATTAGTCTCTAATTGAAGGTTTACACTTCTGAACACAGAACAAATGATCAGTGTGGTTTGCATTTTCTGACATTGCCTGTTAAGCAGCTCTCAAGATGGGGGTCTGGTTGGTTAAGCTAATAAATCTTTAAAGTGAGAAAAAAATGGCAGATTAGCCTCACAAAAAGTCAGGTATTAAAGCTGCCAAATTTGGGGGAGTTTCAAGCCAAAAGCTGGATATGAATTTGCATTCAGAGCTATTAGATAGACATTGGATACTAGGCAGTGATTAGAGAACTAGAAGCAATTAACTCTATTTACCTTCTACTGAACCATGCTGTCTAGGGCTTGGTAAGGGAAAAGACTACTTGCAGTTACAATATACAGAAAATATTCATAGGCACTATGTATAAAAACTTTTTATTAATCTGATAAGCTGAATGAATTAAATTCTTTTCAGCATTACATTCAGCAAATTGCCAGTGGTGAAATGATTAAACATGATGCACTGGTCCTTTACTGCACATCTCTCCTAATCTGCCCTGGGCTGCACAGATTGGAATTAGTGAGATCAACAAAAGTGCAAGAATGAAATAGTGGCCATGATAAGAGAGATTGGACACTTTGGTAGCATCTTTTCTTTAACATTTACAAGGAGCTATGGGACAGAGTTTAAGAAGTTTTCCTTTTCCTGTCAGATTTGTACATTATGCTTTCGTTTTTGTTTGTTTGTCAGTTCTGTGTTTTTTGGTTTTTGTTTGTTTGTTTGTTTGTTTTGTTTTGTTTTTGTTTTGTTTTGTTTTGTTTTGTTTTTGTGTTTTTCTTCCTTTCTTGACCACATTATGGAAGTTCCTCCTCATTGGTTTTGACATTTTGCTGACAGTCTGAACCTAAGTAGTCAGCCTGTCAGGATGTTGAAGGAGATATATTGGCCAGATGATTACGATTTGGCAGCAAAGGAAAACTGGTTGCATTTCCTGAAGATTTTTCTGCAATGTCCTGGCGATATATTGATCAGGAGTCAATCACAAATAATTTATGACCATGATCAATTTTAGAACTTGACTAGTTCCATGTTCTCGGACCTTTACACAACAACAGGACTAAGAAACAAGGCATAGTTTGACAGGAAGTTGTGATCACCCATAATGTTTTGATCAAAGCCAGCAATGAACTGTACATATTGATACCAGTAAGATGTTTGTGTCAAGTGCATTCACTAAGGTACTGATCAATTTAAAATATGAGTTAGGAGGAGGGAAATAGTTCACATCAGGAGGTGCACAGCAAACGATTGATGGGGGAGAGAAAGGGAGACTATTTAAACTTCCAATGAACAAAGGAGCTGCTCAAGTCCAGCAGATGACAGTCCACCTCCAAAGGTATCACCAGCCAGGGAATATTTGTTTTAGCTGTAGGGATTAGATGCTTACCTTCAGATAAGTTAATTCTAGAAGCAAATGAGTTTTGGGGGAAAAGCTATATCAAGAACAACATTATATCTGACTAGATCCTTACTAGAATTTTAAAATCCATAGATGTAAAATGTTCTACATAAAGACGGTCTCTGTCAAGAACGCCACTTGAAGAATAAAACATATGAAACAATGGGAAATCTAATGCCTTGCAATAAAGACCATGAAGTAGAAAGGCATCTTTACATTTTAACTTCATGTAAGCAGGTTAAATATGTTTTTTCTCTGTTTATTCACCTCAATAAAAATTGACAAGTGTGGTTTTTTTTGGCTATTATGAGCAAGTGGGTTTTTTTGTTTGGTTGGTTGGTTAGTAGGATTTTTTTTTTCTACATTTTACATGACTTGACATGAGTTTACTGTCATTTAACGTAGCTGGTAAAAGAAGATATTCCAAGTGTGGTGACTATGAAACCTATAGAAGTGCTCTGCCTTCCAGATGACACAAAATTTACAGTTACAAATAATATTTCTTGACAGACAGATAAATACCAACATGGCTGGACCAGCCCTTTCTTTGATCACAAAGGCCAACTACAGATCACATTACCACCAGATCACCATGAAGACACCAGAGGATCCAAATGAAGCACTGCGTGCCCTGTAGAAGCTGTGTGAGGTGGATTCAACACTTAATATGCAGGGTTCAGAAGAAGTATCTTTCAGTGGCTGATAGTAGCACACAACAAGGTGAAGAGAGAGTGATTGAAGCCAGAAATTTTCCTTGAACAGCAGAGGTTGGTCTCCAACTACATTTGTCATTTGTAAGCTTATACGCAATATACTGCAGTCCACAGACAGTGGACTTTAGCTTCACACCGATTTAAGATGTATAAAGAAATATATATAACATCAGGCAGAACACGTGAATAGAAAAAGACTCAAAATGTGGCTCTGGATTTAAATTAGAAGGTAATGTATTCTTCGCAAGACAAACCACTGTTTTTGACACAATATCTTTCTCAGATTGCTTTTCAGGGCAGCAGTCATTCTGGTTACATTAAATTACTCATAAGTGAAGGCCCAGATGTGTGTTTATCATCTTTATATAAAACCAGACTTCCTTGAAAATAAAAAGGTAGCTTTGCAGTTAGTTATTTTCTCTGACCAAACATTACTAGTAATGGTTTGAATAAATTTTGTTGTTTTTTTTTGTTTGTTTGTTTTTATATATAGATAGATACATAGATAGATATAGATATAGATAGATATAGATGATATAGATAGATGATATAGATATAGATATAGATATAGATATAGATATAGATAGATATAGATATAGATATAGATATAGATAGATATAGATATAGATGATATAGATAGATATAGATATAGATATAGATAGATATAGATATAGATATAGATATAGATATAGATATAGATATAGATATAGATATAGATATAGATATAAAATAAACCAATGTATTCAGGTTTTACTTTTGGAAGGTACATTTGCATTCTCTTCAAGCTACCATTTTATGAAGGCTGCATAAAACATCACTGAAATTTTCTTTATAGAAGAGGATTAGATGGGAAAACAGCAAATTAGATGTCCACAAAATGCAAATACAGAACACAGCCCTCAGACGACTGCTGTGCTCCAACACACTCTGGAGAGTAGTGACTACTCTGCTGTACTCCAACACACTGGAGAGTAGTGACTCTCCAGAGAGCAGACATCTGAAGTGTCTAGCCAAAAGGGAAGCATAATAGAGTGACTGCAGTGACAGCTTTAGAGTGACTGCAGTGGAAACTTAGAATTGTTTGTTTCTGTTTACAGCAAGACCCATACAGAAGCTCCTGGCAGACGTGTGAGGTTCTGTTCATTGCATGGATCTCCAATGGGCTGCTCAGAGATAGAATATCATCCTGTTGCAGACAGTCCTCCCTAAGGGCCAGAAGTACTTTGAGTTCTGCAGCCTACTTTGCTGGGCTAAGTACCAAGGTTTGACCTTTCACATTCAAGAAATTATTTGAAATATGTTTTTTAAATAATAGAATATGGTTACTTTTCCAGAGCACACAGTAATTCTTTAATCATAAGCATGTTATCCATCACTGTACTGATGCCATGGCTAGGTTTGTACTTAACAGGCCTGTCCAAAATTTTTTTAATTCAACATGTTTTTATATTCTCCTCACATCTCCAAACTATTTAACTAGGAAGCATGTCTATTGCGGTCATCTTTTCTTAAAAGAAATATATCTTTTCAGCCACAATCAAAAATGGATCAGTTTAAGTCAGGATTACTGGAGATTTTGCACTTAAACTTATAAGTCATGACCATAGAAGTGAATAAAGTGAATACAATATTGGGATGAAAAATAAGTGAAGCACTTTTTATATATTTATATTTTTGTTACAATGACTTACTTCTTTACGTGGCTCACAGCTCCTATGCTAGATGAGTAAATTATGTATATTCTATAGGTTATTCAGAGAGCTGATTATTTTTATGTTTGTTTATTACTTCAAGGAGGAGGCCATCTTTTTAATGTTTCCTGTACTTGATTTGAAATTTCCAGAAAAACAAACAAACAAAGAAAAAAAAAAAAACACACTCGAAATACATGACAAATGACTCAAATGTGTTTTACACTGGAATTTAAAGACAAGAGTTTCTTTAGAAGTCTGTTATGTATGTTTATTAATCACACTGTTATGATATCTTTCAACAATGCAATGGAAGGCGCTAATTTCATGCTATTTCCTATGTATTCAAAAGCCCACTTAAATATATTTGGACTGTTATAAGTGTAATGTATACAAGGAATCTAATCTGGAATATTACTTGCTACCAATCACCAAAAGAAAGCTTAGCAATATTCAGTTTATTTTTACTTATTTGGTTTTCTTGCATACACACTGAGAAAATATTGTATGCAAACTATTGAAACACAGATTCAGATCACACAATGATGTTTTTACAGAGGTGATTTTTAAGATGAAAGCTGGACTTTAAAGCCAAAGATCCCCTTTGCATTGAACTTCGTAAGAGCAGTACAAGTCTTGAATCACAGTGTACATGGGTGGTACTCCTATGCCTAAAGCTATGTGAAATTAATGACACCCATGTGGTTAATCTTCAGTAAAGGCAATGAATGGTGTAAAATAATTCAGCAGACCTGTGGAAAGGCAGGGTACAACTTGGTTGGACATGTACATTTTATTCCTTGGCACTAGAGCTAAAGGAGTGATTATTTCATTCCTAGTTATTTTATCATGCTGGGAGATAAATAGAAAACTTCAGCATAGAAAAATAATAAATCTATTGGTGAAAATAAATCTAATATTTTACAGCAGCTATAGTCCTGTTATTGGTTTGAACAAGAGCTGTCTGGAGGTCTTACTTTCAGTGGAGATCTGCCAAATAATATGAATCATGAAACTTAACCCATATGGCTTCAAGTCTATTTTCATTTATGCTTGTATAAAATCTTGTAGCCAGCTAGAGTAAGAGACACTTGTGCACATTCCCAGGATATGAAAAATAAAGAAATCATCAAGTGACAGTAATAGCTGAGCAGTAGTTCTTCCTCTATAGTTTGTTCATCTGCTGTAATGCACCTACTAAAAGTGACTGAACTTTGGAAAGAGCCAACACTTCAGAATGCAAGCTAGTAAAATTGTCAGACTTATTTCAAAGTTATTCCAGTCATAAAGCCTTCCTGAAGTGAGACAGATTTTTAAAATCCTTTAGTGAGATATTAAAAATGTCTGCCTAGGCAGCTCAGTGCAACATGGCATTCCTAACCACAGCACAGTGCTAGAAGTGCTAACTCTCTGCACAGCTTCACCTCCAGACCTTGTCCTGCCTCAGCAGAGGTGTGCTGGCTCTTCAGAGCACAAGAGGAACATCTAGTGTGTCTAGCATCACTGTGCATATTTAATTGTACCACTGCCTCTTAAGGAGTAAAGTTAGTACGGTATCCAACTGAATACAGAGGATCCGTGTAGTTATTTACCCAAATAATTGTTTGTTTGTTGTGTAAGGAAATTTCTACATAATAAAAAGAGAAAGTTTCAGAACTATAATACTGAGTTCCTTGGTGGTCAAAACATTAAGGCTTAGAGTGGAATCTAGCAGTCACACATATTTTTTCTTTCTGTTATAATTCAATACATTCAGCTCACACGATGCTTTTTATGGTAATTGCTTCTCATGTAGGGCTTTTTTTTTTGGTTTTTTTTTTTTTTTTTTGATATTTAGGTTCGAGTCAGAACAAAATGGCAAATGAAAATAATTTCTTTTACCTGCAACCAGCATGACTGGCACAGACAATTTATCACAGCACATCTGTTAACTTTCTGCTGATAGGAGACAAGAAGAAAGACTGACAAACTGTTGAATTGGTTGAGATTAAATGAAGCTTTACTCACCCCTTGGACTAAACATTTTTCCCTGTTTTTTCCTTCTGTACTTACCTTTGAAGAGGCTGATTTCTTGGTATTTCTGGGACACCAGCAGATGAAAACATCAGAAACCTGTTCTTATTACAACATGAACTGTTTTTCATTTCCTTATGAGAGTGTAACCTGGAAAGAGCAGCTCTTTGCCTAAAGCAATATTTTGAGTCAAAGAAATGCATGCAGAGAGAAGACCTCTTTCTCATGAAAAATGCAGCTACTAAGAGCACAAATCTCTGCTGGCAACATATAAAAATCACAGTTAAATGTGAGGGACCTACTTGACACACTTTTAATGATGAGGAGTTTTCTTTATCGTAGTGCATAAAACTCTTGGAAGTATCTCATGGGATTACAGGATGTGTGGCTTCTTTACTAGTGTTTTTCATAGTTTTCCCCTTGTTTTTGCATTTCTTGGATATATTCATTTCTGTTTAGACAAAGTAGAAGTTAAACAATAGCTGAAGGTAAAAAGTTTTTTCATCTCTATATTTTTGTTAGTCATTTCCCGAATGTACAGATAAGATCTTTTTGATTTTTTTCCCAATCAAATCTTGAGTGTGGTTCCTGTTTTGTTTTGTTTCTTCCAATCCATGTGTCCAAGTACTGTGGAAATCACATACAAGGAACATTCTCATTGGTTACCTCAGGCTTACCACAAATATATATCTTGTAATTGCAGGGGAAACAGTTGTGATCTCAGATGATTCATGTGGTCACTGCTGGCAAATGGGAACATTTAATGGTAACCATAGCATATTTATTTCTAGTCACTTCCCTAAGTATAATGTACTCTGTACAGATAAGTTTTGAAGTGAAATCCCAGCTACAACCTCTTTTAGTATATAATTTAAGTGTATTTTCAGTAAAGACTATTTTTGCCTTGTGAGCAGGGACAATGTTGGTCATCTTTTGTCACAGTCTTACTTTTTGTGTTATGTAATTTATTAGGAGGTTTTTTGTTAATGAAGGGAGGTTTTTTGCTAATGTTGTAAAACCTAACAGACAAGCAAAATATATTTTCCATGTTTGAATATCATATAGGAGTCAAATTCTTCACAGGAATCTAGATCTTTTCTTAATTAAGGCTCTTGGTTTTTACAAGATCTGGTATGCTCATATAATTGTTCACATTTTTTTTTGTTTCTGTGATAACTATAATTTTAAATATTCCCAATTATTCACTTATAAAATGAAAGTTTATTCACTCTCATCCTAATGAGTTCAATTGACCCATCCTGTGTTTACCAGTCTTTGAAAAGTTTGGGGTATTTCTTTCCTTTTTTAATCCCTTGAAACACGGTATTATTACTAACTTTATGGATTACATGACTGTCTACTACCATTTTGATGTTTTCCCCTACTATATACTAAATCTAAGATCTCTATAAGAAACATATGGACTATACCCTTTAGTGTAGAAAAAAAGCAAGCATGAGTACCTCTCCTCATCAAATTAATAAATAATTCCCTAAAGCCTGTTAAGAGTTTTTGTTGTTGTTTTGTTTTGTTTTGTTTTGTTTTTTAACCTTCTCCTAGAATGATGGTGCACTCCTGGTGTTCCCATCTTACTGTCTTAAAACACCACATTTGTTAGAAATTGTAATGAAACTATTTGAGTTCTCTGTCAGAGAGGAGAAAACATCCATCTGCACTGCTAGTTTGGTATTGTGAAGAGGCAAGGAGAGGCAGAAACAATTTAATTCTTCAACACTCAATGAAAATCATCTATCTGTCAAACTAAAGTTATTGAAATATTATGAGTCTACATGGATTGCAGGGATGTTATTAGCAGGTATCTTAGCAACACCAGTAGGATCTTGGCAGTGGACAATTGGATAAAGTTCATCATATGTACACAATTCTATCAGCAGCATATTTCACTGGAAGGAAAAACACTACTTGTAATTCCTGCCATGTGTTGCAATTTATTTACTATTTGATAAAAGCATAATGCTAAATGCCAAAAATAAATAAATTTGTTATAGATAATGTGAAATATTACTAGATACTGAGAGATTGACCATCCATTATCTGAATACAGAGAACCTATAAAATATATTTTGTTGACTAGTCATCCAAGTCATTTTATGACAGTACTGGAAATAGGCCAAATACACCACACAGACTTCAGATTTTTCATTTACTCTTGTTTAAAAAATATGAGCCAATATTAATCACCTTAGAACATTTAGAATAAAATCTGGACTGACTAAATTTTTATGGCAGAACTTCCCCCGACTTCAGTGGGATGAAAATTTCCCCCAATGCCTCAAAATAATCTGCAGGTAGCATCCTGACACCTGCTCCAAAATAAAGCTAACAAGCTAAAAACTGCGGCACCAGCCATGGGTGGAAAAATGCATGAAGAATATTGTGTCTATTCCAAATCAGCCCGGAGGACGGTTTGTGAACATAGAATGACCTTTCCTAGGTGAGCTTTCAGGTGATAATACTCATTTATTTTCAAAGACTAACACTTGATCTTTATTTGTTCCTAATGATCTTTATTATTCACAGATGCTTCTATCTAAAATGCAATCCTGCTTGTATGTTCTTGCCCTGATATATTCTGCAGGCATGTTGTCTTATATTTATTATAAATGCTTGATGTTATCACCAAAACCATTTCCCTCAGCACCTTAGTGTTCAATGGAGGTGTTTAACCCATGCCTTAGTGTACATCCAGTGATTATTAGATTGTATCTCCTAACATCTTTTCACCATTTCATGAAGACCACAAGGAGTGGAGTGAAACTGCTGATCTTCGGAGGTGCATAGCACCTGCTGTGAAAAGTTGAACTTTACTTTCCATTAATTTCTTTGGAGGAATGGGGGATATGTGAAGCACTCAGCACATCCCTGACTGAGCCCTAACTTCTCTTTAACCTTTCACTCTTCTCCTGACAGCCTTTCATGAGATGATAAAAACAAGCTGGGAGACAGAGTCTAATAATCACATAAAGTTACATGGAATTTCCTCTCTGACAACCACAAGGTTATACTATCCAGTGACCTAGCTGTATTTATGGAATACAGGAAACCTTTACCTCCTTTCCTTTAGGCTTTATAAATAAACACTCTAACATAAAAATACACAACTGCCACACTGTGTCTCACACCATTTTAAGGCATCTTACCGAGCACTGTTTGCAGCCAAACACATTGAGATGAGGAAGGGAGCCTTCTGTTTCCCTTACTGTACCTCCTCAGGCACTGTCACCTATAGAGCACAGAAGGGCTCTGTATGAATAAAGTGTTGTTTGAGTGCTGAATTGTGAGACTTTTGGCAATATACAGTGGTTGATTGATCATTTCACGGATTTGTTTAGAAGAAGAAATTTACAAAGCAAACCACCCACAACTTTTCAATAACAAGCTCATGCATTTCTTTAAACAGAAACGAAAGGTATCTGAGCTAATTCTGATGTCAGAGATTACCAGGCAAGACACATGAGGTATCTAATTTCTGTGAGGAAAAAACTACAAAAAATATTCTGTAAGTCTTAATTTTCAGGGGGTGAAATGGTCCAAAGTAACTGCTTACTACTACCATTTATGTTCTATTAAGGAAGTTAGGAAACCATATCAGGATTACTTTGCTAAGACCTTTCCTAGGTGAAGACCTGTATAGTATATGGGTACTGAAATATACATAATTTCATGCATTCACAATCAAAGCAGTCTGAATTTTGAATATCAAACACAATTAATGCATTATTAGAAAACGAGATAAAGTCAAGTATTTTTTCAAAAACATAGTTGATAACTTTCTTCACAAGAAATGCAAATTGTTCTCAGACAATATAAAACTGGCATATATTAAGGCACATCTACAAGTTATTTAAATCATGATATTAAATCATTTGAAAAAATTGCTCTAAATCTAGATAAGCACGATCTAAGGATGGAATTACAGTTACATTTCCAACTTCATTTCTTTATTGTCTACTTTTGAAACTGACAGCTATTATTAATTTTAACAGACGCTTTTAATAATAATAATGATAATAATTGTAACAATTATAATAATAAAGATGCCTGTGTCAATTAGAAAATACATGAAAATTGCTTTGCAGCCTAATGAGCTGATAAACAATTGAAATGACAAGAATGCTAAATATTTTGTCCCAGCAGATTTCTGCCTGCAATGGTCAGTAAGAAGTATGTATGCAGCCCCTAGAAAACTTCCAATGTATGCTATGGTACATGGCCTCAAAATGCGTTGGATGCAACATCGTCTCAAGCTAATAGCAAAACTCAGCAGTGCACTTTTTTTTTTTCCTTCTTTCTTTTTTGGTACTTAAAGAAAACAATGTCCTCATGGTTCAGGGACACAAATGAAAACCACAGCCTAAATTCAGGATGCACTTTTAGTACCACCCTGACAAGTATATGGTTCTTTCAAAACCATTAACTCACAGAGGGCCACATGATCCATGGTACAATTTAGTTTCCAAGAGGTAGTAGCTGGTTTTAATACTGGGAATGATTTTACAAATCAGGAATTTCTGACATTCATTGAAAACTATGTCGACCTCTCCAAAAACAAACATTATCACTTGACATTTTTAAACCAAAATAGTAAACCTGAAACATCACAATAGACCTGAGGATGATGGATAGTGTGCCTTCAACCACTAGGGCAATGGGGAAGACATATCTACATGGTCTTCTGCTTTCCATAATGAGGAAGGAAGGTGGCAGCCATGGGATTACTGTACTGTTCTTTCTAGGCAGATTCTCTCTACTATTACACTGTCTTTTAGACTGCTGGCTACCAGCAGCTGACCCACTGGCAAAACTGTGAATCACAGAGCTCAGATCCAGATCTGACAGAGAACTTGCCCAGAATTTGAGTGGGGATAGTTTCAGTGTTTCACTCTGGCTTTTCCTATATAGCTATATGCTTATTTTTATTTCTATATCCAGAACTTATTTCTTTTTACCAAGTATATTAATTAAGGGAGATCACAGGAAGATAGATTCCAAATCCCAAACAGTTTGCAGCAAACTTTTACATAAGATGCAACAAGCTCACATAACAGGACTCATAAATAATAGGAGCAAGGTACAGTATAAAAATATACTCAGTGGATAAAACATAACTAACTACTCAAAATGGTCCTTATCTTCCTTTGAGACTTTAGATAAACATATTTCAGTACCATTCTGCCCAGTTATGCTGCTGTTTCTCTGTTCCCCATCCCGTTTTCCTAGAAGCCTGTGCAAAACAGAGTTCATAATATGAATCATACTTTAACCTTAGATTACCAGGCATTATCACTTGGCAGTCTTCGTAAGAAAAACTGAATGATTTTATGCTTTAGTTCTCTAAAGGTATCCCAAAATACTTTTTAGGGTCAGTCTGTTAAAGACAAAAGCAGATAATGATGAAAGGTTATAGTCAGACTGTATGTATCCATATAGTGTAAAATGAATCAAGGACAGAGTCTGTTATCTTGGAAAACAGCTTTGTGTATGATAAGGAAGACTAGAGAAGGGAAGTGAACAACGAGTCTAAATGCCAGGTGTGCTGTGGTGAACTAGCATGTTTTGACTGTTCTGCACAGCTCACATACTCCATATTTTGTCATGTCTTGGTATTTCTACACTTAGGGTCTCTAAATCCCAGAGCTGAATGTTGGCTTATAAAAGAAGTTTTTTGTTTTCTGTCTGTGAAAACGAATGAAATGTACTGAAACCATATGGCTAATCTATTCAGTATGTTTTTGAAATGTGTTCTGGTTTTTCTTCCCTCTGTCATGGCTAGAGAGGTGTCCTTTCAGCCTAATCTCTCTTCTCTAACCAGATGTGCAAACATGCCTCTTAGAAAGCAAAACCACTGGAATGGAATAGAATGAAGGGGAGTGGAATGGAATGGAATGGAATGGAATGGGAGAAGGTTAAAAACACACATCAGTTTCAGTATCTCATTGTTTTCCCTTCAGTGACATACTTTTCTGGATGTTTCTGTGTATACAGCCTATGTATTTATTAAACTCCTATCCTCCCACTTTACTGAAATTCCCTTTCAACCAAAGTCCCCAGAATAAATAAGTACCTCAGCTGTTCATCATTTGTCCAAACTTTATTGAAGTTTCTTCAATATTTTAAGAACTTATGGTCATTCTTGGGTACACACACACAGTATGTTCATATTAACATATAGGTTGTCAGACCTGCTTCTTCCCCAAAATTTTTCAAGAGAAGAGACACCTTAGTATTATTAGTATGATCCCCCAGCTATTTTACATTTGGAAGTTGCTGAGAACCAGAGACTCTTTTCAGTGCAAGAATTAAGTTGCTGGTCATCAGGATCATTTTTAGACCAAATGTACGTATTTTAATCTTTAATATTTGTCCTCTTTTTATCAGGGTAATACCATCACAGCAATTTCCACTGGATGAAATGCCAGTTTGCAGGAATTCATCTGAGGTAGAAAAAGACCCCTGATTCACAGCACACCTACATGAACTTGGCAAGCCTTTGAAACGGAGAACAGAGCATGGCCCAATGAGGCACTGACAACTTAAAGTAAATTTAGTCATTTAATAGATTTACATTTTCAAAGATACCTCTTCAGACAGAATTTTCTGCTGCTGCTTCACCACTATGTGATATACTGGGCTAAGTTAATTCTTAGAAAAATGTGAGCAATAAGAGGGATAACATACCTTTTCCTACTTTTTCTGATTTAGGATAAACAAAAGATAAATACTGTTGATTCATCTGAGCACTAAGAAGTGCATTTTACCCTGCAGAATATTCCACTACCTGTAATTTGAATATGTAGAATGTGGGATTCATATATGAATGGAATCATATATAGTGCCCCACTCATTCTTTTTTTTTTTTTTTTTTTTCTCCAGCATTGTTTTGAAGGTGTTTAAATTATACAGTATTTATTTAATTTCCACATTAAAGTATGACTTTGTTATCAAAACAAAATATAACTTTGAGTAAACATGGCAAGGATTAGAAGTCTTATTCCAAACATCCAAAATCAATGAGAATGTTGCCACTAGAATGGAAGCAGCTCATACCTTCTAGGAAGGAGCAGTTTCAGTGACAGCAAAATAAGGATGTTTTAAAGGTGTAAAGTAATTAATTTTGAAAATAAATATATTTTACATATAATCCAAATATCTTCCATGTATTATAAAATTCTCTTGTCAGGGTTCCCTGGAGTTTACCAAACTGAGACCAGCAGAGACAAATGCTGAAGCAGATTTAGCAAGCGTATTATATAGTAATTTTAAGGTGGGCTCTAAGGGCTCTGATCCTTTTCCCTTCCTTCCCCTTCTATATGAGCAACAATGACAATGAATAAGTTAATAATAATAAATCCTTTCTGTCTGCAGATCCCAGCTCTCCTGCTACAGAAGTCAAACACTACCAGTGGACTGTGCAAGAGATTAGTATAGTTTTCAGATGCGGCCTGTTTTTGACCTCTCATGAGACAAGACACAAGGGTGGCAGCTAGTTCCAGTAGTGATTGTCCTTTCTGCAACGTGACCATCTGAAATGACATAGAAACTTGACTGTGAGCTTAAAATTCATTAAAATCATTAAAAATTTTGGTCATTTCCATCTGTGCTAAATTTGAACTGTGACCTGGAGGGCAAAGTCTCCACATTCCTCAGAGAAATAGTGTCCTCATAATTCAAAGAGTCATCTTCATTCAAGGAAAGGAAGGAAAAATTCAAGTGAAGGTTCATGTCTTTCCAATGAGCAGTCAGCATCTCTGTCACTGACTAAAGCTGCTACCGTAATGGATTCAAAATGAAATTTGACTTGAAAAGGAGGAATTAGTGGATGAAGGCATGAAATTTTTCAATGCAGTTCACTCTGTGATAGGCATATTCCTTTAAAATATTTTACAACTTAACTTATTCTGTGAATATGAAAATCGTTGAACTTCAGTACAAGCCAGACTTGGGTTCCAAACTAGCAGAAATCATCACAAAGGTGGTACAAGCAGGATAAAATAGGTTGCAGCACCTGATTTTCAAAACATGAAGTTTGATGCTGGCCAAATCTACTTAGCTTTCCTGAAATAAATAGGACACGTGAGGTGTCTTCCTTTGCCAACAATAAAAATCTGTCTGTACTCAAAAAACAATTGCTATAGATCACAGAACATGAGAAAAATCCTTGGAATTTAGATCTGGATTTGATTCTATGTCAACTAGAAGCACCAGAAAGAGGTCTTTCTAGTATTATGGATAGCTTGACCTAAAAATAGCTTTCTGAGTCTTAAACACATATATGCAAATATAACGTCATTTATCATTTAGTTTTTTTTTTTCCTCACAGGGGAATAAAGACAGAAAAGTTGGCTAATAGCAACTAGACATAATCATCTCGCTTTTTAAAAGAAAGAAATATATGAATAAAAGAAAGGAAAGAGAGAATTTAAAGTACATGATCTCCTTTAAGAAGAGATTGGACTGTGCACTTAGTCACATGGTCTGAACTTTTGGGTAGACCTGTGCGGTCTCAAGAGTTGGACTTGATGATCCTTAAGGGTCCCTTCCAACTCAGGATATTCTATGATTCTATGATTCTATGATTCCTTCTATCTTCCATTTGCAATGCTGTGAGTTCTGGTAATCTGCTTTTAGTTACTGGATTTTTATGTGATGCAGAGTGCTCTCTTTTATATTAATATATTGTTTAATGTAAATGTTTTTAAACAGCAATTAATAGCATTGCTCACTGGATTCTTTTATTCCCATGAATGGGTGAAATTGCCTGTATATCTATAGCCACGTAGCTCTACTTTTAAATAGTATCATATCTTCTTTAAGTACCCCACTTGCTCACAATATCAGTATGGACAGTAGGTAGCAACTATGACAGATCATCTTCACAGAATCCCAACAAGAGGTCTCAGTCCTATCCTGAAATTTTACTTTTTACTTTACGTTTACTTTTTACTTTTATTGAGAAATAAATTTAATCTCTATGACTCAAACAAATATACCATCCAAAATGGTGCAAATTTTCATTCTGGGTTCTGAAACAGAGTTCTTTCCAATAACAAAAGGAATGAGAGGAAAAGTTAAATAGAATATATTTAAATGCCCTCTTAAGAAATAGCTTGTATCTGCTAGATTCTCATTACAGCAGTGTATCTAAGCATGCAAAAGCCCAAAGGAAAACAGCTTGCAGACTTTTTCTTTGAAACAGTTATTTGTGGGATCTGGCAATGTCCAATGTCCTTGCACCATGAAAAACAGGAACTCCACCTACAGAACTCATGACCCCAAGATGTGTAGATCCTGTAATATCAAGTGGGTTGAGGTTTCTTACACTTCTCATAATGGACCGTTCATAGGAGATGCTACACACTCCCCATGATTTCAATGAGATTAATCTCATGAGATTTCACAGGATTCTCTTACTAGTGATATACACAATTCACATCATTTATAACTTTTACATCATTTATGTAATTTCTAACACTTCCAATATCATAAATATATTGGTTTCATTAGCTGTAGCAGGAGTTTCACTAAAGAATTAGAAACAATCATATATTGCATTTTCTGAAATAAAATAGCAGACCCAATGTGCACTCAAAGAAAACAGTGGTTGCCTTGGCACTTCAGACTAAGTCTGTGTGGTTCGACAGCCTCACTGGTCTCATACAAATGTCCAAAGAATAAATGAGAAAACAGAAAATGTGTTACCACTAATGTAGGATACACAAAAGGGCAAAAGTGAGCAGAGATGTACCAATGATGTAATGGGATCACATATTGCCTGGGAATAAGTAAATCATTTCAGCAAGATTGAAAAGCAAGTAACTTAGACTGCATTTTAAACTGGCATTTCAAAGTACCTGGAAGCATTGTAATGGCCTCTGGTATTGTCAGTCTTGAGTGAAATCCACATTTATTCTCTGCTCTGGAGGAATAAGAAAAAGCATCCTCCTTGATATTCGATATTCATTCTTTACACAAAAGTGGGTGGAATGTGCTTCAGTACAATGTACTGATAAAAAATCTTTATTACTTTTAAAAATAATAAAGTAATAGAATGCAAATTTTTTATTTACATTTTAAATTATTTTGCATCTTTCATATGCCTTTTTGATATTTCTTCACTTCTCTTTTTAGGATTTTTAAGATGAGATGAGATGATTTTTTTTTTCCCAGAGAAAATAATATGGCTGGAAAAAAGTATAAAAATAAAACCTTTTTGCTATATTAGCTGGTAAGACAAAAGCTGCCTTCCTACAGATCTGGAGTCATTTGTGTCAATAGACCATTATGGTTATAGCAAGAGTTGATTCCTAGTTTTAGAACAAGGACAAAGGATTTATTTAAAGAAATGGAGATCTAATTAAACAAACCAATGCATTTCTCTAAACCATTGTGGAAAACACCTTATAAGGTTTTCCTGATCATTAGGCCATCCTTTCTGAAAATGATCAACAATTTGGCATGCAGAAGAAATTTTATGGGAAAAAGTTAGTATAAACTGATAGGAGAATTATGCAATTTAAAAAAAAAAAAAAAAAAAAAAAAAAGCCTATTCTGCTGATCTTGCTGATCTAATCAGTAATATTTATCCAAATCTGCTGCACAGAAAGAAGCAGACCAGAAAAACACTGACAAACTCAGAGGAAGCATCTTTGTCTACATGCCATTAAAGATGCAGAACTGAGACGTGCCAGCCTAAGACATCTCAGGCACTTACCAGGCTCTTACCAATGGAACTAAAAACTTTTTCCAAAATGTAACTACAAGACCTAATACTCGTTAAATGGCATAAGGAAAACACCAACTGCAGAATTTTCTGCAGTTGGTGTTTGGGTATGGGTGCAATTTTGGACCTTCTATGCTACATAGATGACATAAAATACACAGCAGGACAGGCAGCATTATCTTGTTCTGATTGACACGATTGTGTCACTGTGTGTGACCTTAGCATTCATTGCTGACACTCACCTCACAGCCTTGGCCAAAGGCACTCCACCTGTTCAGAGTCCTCAGGGCATTGAATGGGAGGAACCCATTCTTCGGGAATTAATGAAACCAAGAAAAATATTTGTACAAAACATTCTTCCACATAAAATGGACAGATCTGGGTCACTGTTGAGATCAGTGACTCATCTGGATTTGTAATTTGGTATGAAATATTCATGGATAAAATTGCATACTCAGAAAAGAGATGATAGACAGGACCATGTGTACTTTTCTGTAAATAAGGAAAACCAGAACATAGTTGAGGAATCTGCTGGCTACTAACTATAAATCGAGAGAGAAGGAAAGATGGCAATCAGGCATTTTCAGGGGGGTGGGAGGGAAGAAAAACAAAACAAAACAAAACACAACAAAAAACACTATTTTTCTAGTATTAGAAAAAGCAATTGTGTGATTATTGTCATATAGGGTTGTATTATCTTCACGCACTTCCAGGAATATCAGACTCCATTCATGTTCTGCATCTTTCACAGAGAGCAACAGAGGACTCAATGAGGTCTCAGCTTGCTTTCTTGCCTTCTTCAGTTTTCATTGTGTGTATTTTTGCTGGCTGAGAGAGATGGTCTGAATAGTGTAGCACTGTGAAATGTTTCCACTCATTTGGGAATATGAAAAAAAGGACTTGACTCACTCACCAGCATTTGTCTTACCACCTAAAAAAAATTAATATACCCAAACTGGATGCCTGTGTAAAGCAGTGGGAGAACAAGTACCTACAGGTACCTACACCAGAACGGTAGGAAGGGTGTGCTGTGAGAGAGCATGTGCTGCTGTTGCTGCTTGGTCGAACGAGTGCATACACCACTGTTGCCAGGTCTTATGGGGTACTCCACCAGATTTAGCCACTGAAAAATAAAAAAGCTTTATCAGTGGAAATGTGCTGGTTTTATGACTAAAAGAGGCACCTTACTGTTAAATTTACACACGCACATGCCCTCATGAATCCAGCCACGGCTGGATAAATTCTGGGCCTTTTCCCTTTGAAATCATTTATGAAAATCAGTGTTGCCAGCAATCCTTCTGGAGCCACTGAATTATACATGTTAAGTAAATTCAATTAAACTAAAGCCCCTTTCTTTCAAAAAAGAGCTGAGTTCTTGAGTAGCTGACTGAAGCAGACACTGAAAATAATAATTCTGCCAGTCAATGGGATCATGTGTAAGTTCTGTTTCACACAATCTGCTTTGGCTTCCAAGGAAAGGCAAACAACGTTACGTGGTAAGAAACCCCTTAATTGGGTTAGTGATAGAGGAGGCAACCCCAGTGCATTGGTGTAAGCAGCAACGTGTGAATATTTTATTCAACACAGCAACAGTGGTCTATTTATTCGGCTTATGTGCATAATTAGTAGTAAAATTAAGCAGGTTTTTTTTTTCTTTTTTAACATACAGTAGTTATTCTTTATGGGTCTGGATCCTGAACAAAAATATTTCCTTTAGACTTTATTTGAGTAATGCTTTCTTACGGTGAGCTCTGGCAAATGCCATAAAAAATTATAAATCTGGAAACCTAGGAAGTATAGAAAGTGGAAGGAAATTACCTCAGTTTGGCATGAAATACAATGTTACTTTCTTTAAATAAAATGCATCCTCTGTCCTTAGGAACCCCTTACAGTCTAATTTAACATTTCATTGTACTCTGTCACTTACCTTTCCTGCTGCCAGGCCCACACAAGGCAGCTGATATTATTGTATCTGCAGTTACAAAGAGCTTATGTTTTCACATACTATTTTTCACTTCTTTCAGAAAAAATGGTAGCCTGGCACTTTCCTGATTTAGTCTTAAATGTTCTTTTCCTTACAAAATCAAAATAGCCTCAAAAAATCAAAAATGTGCATACATAAAAAAAAGACTGTAGATAAATACGTAAAAAGACTGTAGATAAATGTAAGAGATACTATGTGATTGTCACCAAGCATGCAATTTAACTGGATGCACTACCACATGAGCTATGTTTTTCCCTCAGATATTCTTACCTAAGCAAGCAGAAAAAAGTATTATAAAAAAAGCTACTGGTGAACTGAAGCCCTGGGAGGAAAAGTATTCTTGACACAGGTGATATTCTTAGTAAGGCATTTTAATACTTGAAAGGTGCTATGCAGGTAAAAAGTGTAAAAGCCAATAGCGCTGTTCATGCCAGTTACTATAACTCTATCTAAAACAGAACCTACAATTTGATCTGAGATTCCAAACATAGCATTAGAGATTTCTAGTCTGATATCATATATAAGTTCTCCAAGATGAATTCAAATTAACAAAGTACATATAAAATCAATTTAGAACTAGCCAACCAACAGCTCTCAGGACCTACTTGCTCTTAAGTACTCACCCCCCACTGAAGATATTTCTAACAAGGTTGTGAACAGGCATGGATCTGTGCTAAATACTGTTCAATATCTTCTATAAATTATCTGAGCAAAACACCAAATTGTGTCTTGTGAAATTCTAGAAAGATACAAAGACTAATAATGTGACAGTTGAAGAAAATGACACGTCATTTCCATGGAGTCATATGAATGGTTTTCTCAACCTGCTTTATGGGAACTGCATGTTTAAAAACACCGACAGACAGAAACATGCAGCAACACTACAGAAGGCATGTACTTACGCAAGACTGTGACCTGGAACGTATGCTGAAAGGCCATGAATGGTCATGGTGGATAGGCAAATGAACATGGGCTTCCACTTGTGCTTTTCAATTTTTAAGCTTCTTAAAGGAAGAAGAAAAGCACTTTAAAATAAAAAGTATGACATAAGAACTCAATATCATGCCAACTCTGCTATTCTTCTATCAACAGGAAAAGGAGAGAGAAGGTTTTTAAACAAATGTAGAGGCAGAGAATATCTAATAACAGAAAGATAAATGTATTCAAACAAAACAACAAAGCAATATTTATTACTCTGTAAGAAGACACAGAAGTTGGTTTAGATAGGATTCAAACAAACTAACAATTGCCATTCTTCTAATTACTGTCACACTCCCCAGTAGTATTTCTCATGCTTAAGTTTCTGAACGAGTCACCTTTCTCTGAACTCCTCACTTGTCTGTATGGGTAATTAATCAGTCAAAAACACTCAAGTATAAAGTTGATCTGACAAACTCCATTGAGAACACGTGTGCTGTAATTTCCCCGAATCCCTAGTGAAGGAATGAGTGCTAGCTAAGCCCAAAGGTTTATCAAAACACAGTGATAAATCCCAGATGTGATCTCAGCTTTTAATGCTTTCTATTTTGTTAATGTCTCCAAAACCACTCATGGGATTTTTGCTAGGTGTTTTCTTTCTTCCCCCCGCTTTCCCAAATTCAAAGTAAATTGGTCTGGCTTCTGGTACCTGGCACAGTGGCATGCTTCCTCTCAACAACTGTAAGCCTGTCTGAAAAACAGAACAACATCTTTGAGATGGGGTGTTTATATGGGCAACTTTCAGCCACTGAAGTGAATGTGGCCCCACCTTCAAAGAGACTCCAGAGCACTGCTCACCTGATGAAAGCATTAACTGTTTGGGGTTGACTTGATTTACATGAAAGCAGCCAGCTCATTAGCTGAGCTGAACCCAAAGAAGTAAATGTAATGCCCAAGCAGATGTTTTCCTACTACTTGATGTCAATGTTGCTGCAGCTTTCCTCAGGGTAAGAGTACAAAGACTGCAGTGATAAGACCTTGCAGAATCCCCCAACAGCTGAAGGAGAGCAAGCTGTTGAAGAGATTTACATCAGGGCTACTGAGGTCAAAGAAGTTAAATTAATGTAACCAAATCTTACTGGATTGTACGTAAGATAACACTTTATAGCACTGCACATATAGGGCTAAACTATACACATATTTCACAAAAATAATAATTTAATATGACCAAGGGGTAAATGGAGAGCTTGGCATATACATACTGATCCCTAAGAAATCTACTTTTTTTTCTTTTTCAAGTTCTTTAGATGTCTAAGATATGTGTAATGTTGTACCTAGTTATTTATATATGTAAGGCCTCTCCTCTAGAAGTAGTCTTCAAATGTTAAACTCAGACAAGACGTATCTCTCTGGTCACTAGAAAACAAGTTCTTCCTGCTAAGACACTGCTCTTTCATTATATATATATAAGCATGTATTAAGAATATGACAGCTTCACTACCATATAACAAAATGTTTCCCTCATCATTTTAATTGTTGGATTCTTTTTCAGATTTCTTGCTATTTAAACACTTGTCACATACATTTGGACACTGGAAATATCCATCTTTCCTCTCCTCTTTGTCAAGTATTTATATAACTTTGCATTTTATTGTCCTAGATTAGGATTATGTTTATATTAGATTTGTAAATTATTTTTTTTCCACCATTGTTTTTTTATTGATTTAAAAGACTATACAGTGAACAAGACAATATATATATGTCTGTCTAAATGCATATGTATATGGTTAAGTGTAAGTATATTTAGTTATATTTGTACACTAAATTCAATGGCTTCTGTTTCTTTCTAGAAATCCTTATGGGCTTGTTTTCTTATGAAGTTGGTCAGGCAATGAGAATTTCACTTGCAGAAGAGTTTAAATCTATGAACATCTAGCATTAATCAAACAAAAATCATAATGGGTTAAAGAGGGAGATGGTAAACTTGAGAAAACAAAGAACAGAGTAGTCTATGATTTGTGGTAAGCACTATTACACCCAAAGGCCTTGTTTTCCCACTTTAGAGGCAAGCAATTTAAAAGAAGTCAATGTCAGTTATTCATTTCCAGTGACAGGAGAATATAGTGCCCAGGTAAAAACACTTTAGACCCTAAATTTCAGTTTTCAAATTGACTATTCAACTGCAGTCTTATAAATGATTTTCAGATTTTACGTTCACTGCATTTAGTCAGTGGACTGATGGTCATAATACGTTACTGTGCAAAACTGTATGACTTTTCCTGACAAATTCTATTCCAGTCCTGGATGGTCAACATTAGAATTTTATATGATCAAATTCCAGGAGTGGAAATGTCGTTTTCCAATGTTCATGTATATCAACTGTGCTACATGTATATCTCTTATCACAGTGCAGACTAACATTTTTGTATAAGGGAGCTTATTTGGGCTCTACTCTCCACAGATATTTATTTTAGAAAAATAAGGCAAGATATATAATAAGGTGATTAATCTTGCCACAAATTAATTATGCCAGGCAGTAGTAAGAAATATCCACATCTTCATCTTCACATTCCATCCAGCCTGAGTTTCTAGGACATGATTTGCTGACCTGTTTTAGTGTGCCACTGAATCTCCACAAAAATCATTTTTGTCCTTCAGGTGAAGCCAGAAATAGCTTCTTCACTCTGTCTATAATGAATATTTTAACAGTAGTAAATGCTATAGCAGAGAGCTCTGAGCACACTTTATAAGCAGAGCAAAGAGCAGGGAGGGAATTGCAGAAATAGCATCAGCACTGTGGTAGTGGATGTTCCTCTGAAAATGTAAAGTTCCTTTTCCTACTTTACCAGCTATGATAGATTTACTGACAGTTTCTTTTAGTAGTTGTTACAAAATGCTTCTATCTGGGGTGAAAATGTGGACTGAATTTTCTGCTTCTATAACTTTGGAGAGGGGCCCCTGACAGGGCTATAGGTCTAGTATGAGATGAACCAGAACTACTGTATGTACACCACTGACTTATTCTGAAGGTGTGTAGAGGATCTCAATATTGCATGCACATTTGTTGCAGAGTGTCTCTGAACTATGCCCAGCGACATTGCAGAAGCCATCAATTAATGTCTTGGGTTCCCTTGCAGGGCCAGTATCTTGCCTTAGCAGATGAACACAGGAACACATCAGTCTTCTACTTCTCAGCCTCTGCCATAAGAGATCCACAAACAGGGACTCTCTGGTGCTTATCTTGTTTGGAGGAGATGGAGTATTTCTTCAAGAGGAAGTACAAGATGTTTCTCTGATATCATTCAATCCGGGGTAAATGTGGAGTATAGCAATTAGTACAATTCTGTCTAAATGTGAAGAATATTAAGCCCGTTAAGCTAAGTTTTAATGTACTTGCAATGTTAGCTAAGCCTCTTCCATGTTGCTCCACCATATCCTACCTAGTATCTATCTAAATACTCATTCAAGTTTTAAAAAATCCAGATATCTCATTCATTTTCTTCATTTTCCCGTCATGAATATTAGTGTTTATCTTCTAGTTTTCCCACAGTTCACGATAGACTTTCACAAAAGCTTTCTAAATTAAAAATTTGGCAGGAAATTAGTTTTTATGAAAGTTATTTTGTTGGCTAGTCTAACAGCTGAGTGAAGTATTTTAAAGACTTTACAATGCATAGTGCTTTATTGATTCATTTTTAGAAGCTGAGAAAAAAGAAATATTTTCCTGTCAGAAATAAAGTGATAATTCAAGACTCCGTTATCAAATAAGATTCGTGAGTTTTCCTCCTCAAAGAGTCTGACCTGGGTACATCAGAGGAAGCATTTTGAAGAAGTCATGTGTTAATTCAGTTAATCTTGAAAATCTGGATGATGCTGGGTCTTCTTTCCTTCTTCTTACTCACTTATCCAACCCACGCTGAGGCCAGAGTCCCACAGACCTCTCCTGATTTGCACTGCTGTGTCTTGGAGGAATACCAGGGTGAGAGAATGGGGTGTTGAAGAAAAGGCAAGGTGGCTTTTTAAGTTAAAAAAGAAGGAAAGGAAAATCTGAGTGTCTAATGTAAGGGAGAAGTATGTTTTAACATGATCAGCAAGGAAGAAGTGGGAGGAATGCAGGACTATATTTCTGTCTACCCCTTAGCTAACTACCTGGACATCAGCTCTCACCCATGTTGTCTGTCTTTCCAATTACTTTTCAAATACTTGACATTTATAGTTGTCTCGCTCTTGGATATATTTCAGGCCTAGAAGAAATTAAGAATGTATGGGAAAACTGTGATTACAGAGTTTGTCAGAGAGCTACCTTTTAACAAAGTAAGTTCTTATATATGTGCCACCTGCATGCTCACAGTCTTTTCCTCTTCTTTTCTGACCAACCCTTCTTCCCCACATAATTGTGGAGGGAAAAAAATAAAAATAAAAATAAACTAAAAAATGGACCAAGTGTATACTGATATGATAGTCTGTTCAAATATTGAAAATATTCTCTGAAAAAAAAATATTTTCAAAAATACCATGATGGAAAACATTTTTCATGGGAAAGAAAGTATTTTGTCTAGAAAATCACTGGTAAATGGCAATGAATTCAAAAGAACAATTGTGCTAAAATTGAAAACCCAAATCTCTGTTCAAATTCTATTTCCCTAGAGAGTCCCATTTGTCTCACCTGTTTACAGGATAGGGGCAGGCATTCATTCATTATGCTGTGAAACAAGGAGAGTCCTTGCATTAGTTAGAAACTTACATGATGGAAAGACAGAAGCATTTTTCATCTTTCTCTAACAACTCTGACTTTGGCATATCGGTGAGATTATAAATGTTCATGTTTAAAACAAGTCTTCTTTTCTAATATGAATGACGCTATCAAAAATTTCCTGTCTGCTAAATGCACAGAAAATTAATATCCAACTTAAAATAGAGTAGGTAGTCACTCTTATCCTAGCCTCTTACTTCATTTTCCCCTTCTACCCTCACCCTTCTTATGCTTTTTCTTATTCATTTCTTATCGCCTTACTCAAAAGCTTTTCATGTCTTTAACCTTTCACCCTCACCTTTTATTCCTCCCTGAATTTGGACTGGGACCATGTCTAAAACATATAAGTAGTTCATAATATCCTCTTTTTTTCTTTCTTTCTTTTTTTTTTTTTTTTTTTTTTTTTTTAATTTCAACATCACATTGCACCTTTAGGAGCCCTGCTCTCAATGAAGTTATTCATAAAGCATTCAGTGTTTAAATTTGTAGTCACAGTGCTGGCTGCCTCTCTGTCTCAGAAGCGGTGTGAAGAAGTAGGTCTTAATAAAACTCCTAATGAAAATTATAAAGCCCATGATGGAAGGCGCATCTCATACATACAGCCCATGTTTGTATGGCACCTAACTGAATTGGACACGAAGTCAGGTTTTCTAAGTTTCTAACCCTCATCTTGCCATTTACATTGTTAGTAATAACAATAACATCATAAAACAAAGCAAAATTATTGCAGGAGGCTTCATTTCCTTTGCTTATCATATGAGCAATGTATTAAGATTATTTGATATGTTTGTTTACCTGTTTCCTGCATATTAGTTCAGCATTATGTCCTAGAACATCCAACATGAAAGCCAAAATCCTGAATTTATCACATATCATCATTATCAAAAACACATTTTCTTTCTTTGTATGCTTTAAGTAAATATAAGATGCTATCGTAATAATATAAAGGACAAAAATGATTTCCAGTTGCAAAATTCATATTTAAACTTGTAAAGGTTTTCAGACTTTAGGTTTAGTTTAACCTCTACATATGTTCTACATATGTCAGCACTGCATCTATGTATATTAACTCTCCATATTTAAATCCACAGGTTGCAAAATCAGCTAAAAAGTAGTGTCAGGAAGTTAACCATTTGGGTTGGAAAAGACCCTTAAGATTATGAAGTCCTAAAGCTGAAGAAGAGAACAAATGGCGTAGCTGTGAAGGAACAAAGGGTCCTTCTGCACTGCTGGGTATAGACAGACCTGAGTTTGTTTGGCCTGTGCTGACCCCAGAACTGGAAGTCAGAAGACCACAGTGACAAGACACCTGTTCCTACAGGACAAGAGCCTCCATAAACCAGGCCTTTGAGCCATGTTGGCCCTGAACTGTATCTATTTTAATAACTCTACCTGACAGCAACTCTGTGGCAGAGCTAGGATTAGAATATAATCATGCTGGCTCAGTCATGTGCATAGATTATTTCTAAAACTTCCCTCAACATCCAGGTTCCCATAGCCGATAAAATATATAATATATGCTCTCTTATCTTCTTAATTCTCAGCAGCATTCTCACTGTAACCTGAAAGACATTCTTAAGCAAACAAAACAAGTTGACCTCTAAAATGTGCTTTCCGGTAATAAGAGCTGCCGTTCTAACCCAGGGGCTGGGCATTCAGTTTTCACAGCTTGCAGCAGACTCTCAAATGAAAATATAATTTCTTAATTGCATTCTGTAACAGCTGGCCCAGGGTAAATATAAGGTTACATTTCAGTGATCAGAATTTCAGGAATAAAAACAAAATTTGCATGCATAAGAAAAGACTATTTTAAATGTTGTGTTATATTTCCCAGTATCACGTTCCTGTTCTGGAGATCCTCTCTGAACTGATGGCAGCTGTTATATACATGGTCCACTGCAAGCCAGCCCTCCACAGCTCTCCATCACTATTATGCTACGCCGGTAAAACAGTATAAAGCAAACAAACAAACAGCTTTTTTCCAAATCTGCTGCTGATATTTTCCTGTCATTTTCTCAAAATACCTGATTTTTCATTGTCATCTGCCCTCACATATCAGTTCTTTTCATGCTGGATAAGCAGAACTGTATTTTTTAGCATTAAAAGCATTAGCTATTTTGGTTAAGAAAACATTGCTCTAATTTGTGCAGCTAATGGAATAAAAATGCATTAACTAAGCTGCAATTGTATTTTGCTTCCTCCATCTGCTACCATCCAGTCACACTTCCATTCCAATCATTTGTAGCAGACTTTCAGAAAAATCTCCCAGGGACCCTCAGACACAAAGGAATTTGTTTGGTAAAGCAACTACAGGCTCATCTGCCTGAGCACGGAGGAGCAGAGAGGCGCAAGGGCAGGCAGGGGAGCCCCAGTAACCTGCCAGGAGAAAGAAGCCCCTGCCCAGACCCTCCCCAGGCTGCCACAGAGGAGCCTCAGCCCCATGCCAGGCTCTGAAGGAGAGGCTCTCCAGGTCTCCTCTCAGACTGAGGGCACTTGGGGTGTGGGGTCACTCTGGGATGCAGGGGTTAGCACTGGGGGATTGTACAAAAGCATGGGTCATCAGGGCCCACCTATCAGGGGTAGCAGCAAGAGGAGACTGGAGAGTGTGTATTTGTGTGGCTGTGTATGTCAGCATGTAAACATGAGTGAACATCAAGCCAGAGAAGTGAGCAAGCAGGCTGGGTGCTGAGGATGCAAGTGCTGGTGTGGCCATTAGTCTGGGTCAGATACCGGAGAGATTAATGGATGCTAATGAACTTTCATCCTGAGCAGCCAGAGAATGAGGAGGAGGCCATCAGTACTCTGTGTTTGTGTCAGTGCTGTTTTCTGTTGCTGTTGTGATCAGACATATATCTCACTCTATATACATTGTATGTGTTTCTGTGTCAATTGTGAATATGTGTTCAGCCTCACCACCAGGTGGACCTGGGAACACAGATCTGTGGCGGCCTGACTTCTGTTGGGCTACCAGATTTGTGTGCCCCTAAAAAAAATATAAAATAAAATAAAATAAAATATAAAATAAAATAAAATAAAATAAAATAAAATAAAATAAATAAAATAAAATAAAATAAAATAAAATAAATAAATAAATAAAATAAAATAAATAAATAAAATAAAATAAAATAAAATAAAATAAAATAAAATAGTATGGTACCTCTAAGAAGCCTCAGAAGCTGCAGAATGATCAGACAATAATTCACAATATTGTCAGCATTTTCCAAAATGATTAGAGGGCTGTGGACATGAAGGTGAGGCTACAAAATGGTGCCTTTTTTATTATTATTATTTCTTACAGCCTTCAATTGGCAGCTAGAGCCCTTCCTGGCAGGTAAAACAAAATCATCTGGTTATAGCAACATACATATACCCAGCAGCTACTGAACTACTAGTCTGTCCATATGTTCATGATAGATTTTGAAATGCTAAGACAAACCAAAATTGAAATGCTTCTGTGCATATCCAGAATCAAAATGTAGTTACCTGGGGATTTAGGAAATTACATTAATAACTAAAGAATTACATAAGCAGTGACTAAGATTTGAAAACCACTGTCTTGAATTTGAATCTTGAATTATTCTTAAATTCCAATTCCAGTGCCTAAGCTTTAGTATTTACTAAAATGTACTGTGATTAAGTAAGTCATTAAGAACATCAAATTAAACAAAATAAAGAACTGTAAGAAAAAATAAACACCCCACCCCCCCAAATAATAATAATAATAATAATAATAATAATAATAATAAAAAGATCATTCTGAAAGCAGAAATTGGTCAAGAGAAATTGTCAATGAACTACAGAGTTAGGTCCCTGGAATTTGAATCCTTTTTTGAAACTGGGTGGTCTATGCCTAATACCGTGTTTTGTATTTTGGTCTGGCATTCATGTAGTTTTTGCAGTGATACTCAATATATTATTGCAAGTTAGCAGGACTTATTCAAATGCAGAAACACATCCTATTTACTTCTTTTCTTAGCCTATAGTTTCCTACAGTGTCACTTGTTTTTGCTCAGAAGAAACCAAAATATGCCTGGAATTGTAATTTGGAAAAATTTTGTAGACTTGTGGTAGTAGTGGCATTGACTACATGCCATAAAGCTCTTTAATGAGCTTCACCATCTCCATATCAAGTTCTGCAATGAATGCAACTTGATCCCCAAAGAGCCCTTTTCAGAAACCATGCAGCCTTTAAAGGGCCACATATAATATATTAACTCTATTTTGATGAAAAACAAATCTGCTAGATATTTAACAGACTTCATCCTGAAGTAAAAGCCGGTATATGGTGTTGATCTTGGCAAAATAGCCTCAGCCTCCTTAGAAACTGTGATTTTGTATTACCACCCCTTTTCAATAATAATGAACATAGGGAAATCAAAAATGTTATATGCAGGAAAATATAGTATATGCAGGAAATATGTTATTCTTCTCATGCAAAGCAATGAGGACCAGGTCCCCATTGCTATAAATCAAAGCAGTACAGAACTATCCCGAGTTATATCAACTCAGGCATTGCAACTGCAATCTACTTGCTAGAGCTAAAGGAAATTACACCTGGTGATGGCACGTACTGTACTTACCATATTAAATTATCTTTCTGTGCAAGATTTTTTCTCTATGTTGTTTCCATGATGACCTATGTATGCTCCTGGGAAAATATGAGCAGTCATTAACAATGCTGAAACTAAGTGACATAAATTGAAGTCTCTTTTATATTCCAAGGTTGTTGTAACCGAGAGTCAGTACTGAAGAGTAAAAGGAAAATTTCCCAGACACAAAAGGAGAAGACAGGTCTAGATTTCCATTTAAAAGTTAAAAGACACTTGTTTTTTTTTTTTTTTCAGAGAGAAGTCATTTGCAAAATGTTGCCATGGATCTAGTTTAAGTTCATAATCTCCACCCACTTCCCCTCTCTTTATCTTATATGGGATAATTAGGTCCATGCCCAAGGCCATCTATAATAGAAACCATCATCTTGAAAAGCTATATCCTTACAGAAAATATTGTACATAATGCATTAAGAAAGATTCAGGTAGAAGTTAGCAATGACAACAGAAATCATATTTTTCAGTCTCCTTGTTTGGGCATGGAGAGATCTTTGTGTTCAGTTTCACTGATCCTTTGTACAACACATTCTCTTCTTGCTGTGAAGTCTCTTAATTAAAGACCAGGATTATTATTACATCAAATAAGCACCTGAAGAAAGTTAACTTGTCCTCTCTGTTTTTCAGGAAGGTGCACTGTGTGTGTGTGTTCACATGCCATTAGAGCACTGTAATTACCTGGTGGTCTGTTGTAAGCAGGAAGAGGTTCAGTCTGAGGGTTCAGCTGACAATCATTCAGGTAGGAATCAGCTTTGTGCACTGCTGCTTCTCTAGTAGCAGATTATATAGCAGCATGTGCCACTTGAAAGCATGGCAATACAGATTGTCTTCTGTACAGGTGTAAGGAGCGTGCTCCTGGAGGCAAGTGCTTCAAGCTGACTGATTCTGGATTTGGATTCAGCAGCATGCCAGGAGGTGCTATCGCACAACATCAGTGTCCACATTGTCAGTGGCCTTGTGTTCCTTCTTATGAGTCCACTCAACACCTCTTACAGCGAAGGAAATTTATCAAGCCTATCTATCTAGTCAAAAGAGTTGGTCTTAGAGAAAAAGTAGGAATAAATCCCGTGACCTTTACTGCATGTCCTCCCTCACAGCAGCTGAGGCACCAGGAATGCCCACTAGATGTAGGGAAGTAATTGTTGAAATCACCACATCTCTCAACGCCAGCCAGAAATGATCAAACTGTTCCACCAAAACATTTATAGAGACCTGCTTGGGGAAATGAAAAACCTCCAAACCTCCTCTCCTGAATCTAAGAACAGGAGGGAAATAAAAAAAAAAAAAAAAATTAAAAAAAAAAGGCAGAAAAAGGATGGCAGAAAAAGATCTTTGTTCAAAAAGAATTATTGACACAAGAAAGTCCTGAAAGGAAATAGTTTGATATAACAGATAATTGAGATGAACCCTGCTTTAGCTCCTTTATGACCTCAGGCAGAGTGTGTGGAGGAGCAAGGCCTGGGTACACCCACAGGTATATGATATCTCCACAGCGTGAGTGTAAACAGACACTTGAAGGAGAGCAAATGATTGTGCTGCTGGATGCACCTATGTGTTTGCTACTAGAAGAGCATTCAGAGACCTGTCAAGAGTCTTGCTGAGTTTGATGCTAATAGCATAATGAAGCAAGAAGACCAGGAAATAACTACTGACATGTTGTGTTCCTTGTCTATAATTATTTCTGATTTATTACAAAAACATCAAAAACAGAGATGTTTTATCAAAAACATCTCTGCCAATTTGAGATGTGAATAAACAAAGCAGAGGCCATTTATAAAATGGGTGGTCATGCTGGCTACTAATATCACACTCTTTCTTAAGCCAGTAATTAAAACTCAAAGAAGAGTGTTGTTTTTTTTAAGGGCATATAATGACTATGCATTTGTCTAGTGTGCATACAAATAAGTCTTTTATGTTGGTCTTTCAGATACCACACAGTTTGTCAGATATCAGGGTCAGCTCTAAATAAGACATAACAGCACAACTCACCTTTAGTATACATCTAAAGATGTGACTGTTACTATGCTTTACAAACAGTTTTCTGGTGCTTTCCGGGAAAGAATGAAAGGTTGGCTCATAATCAGACTCTAAGGAAATTAAAGTAAATGCCTGCATCATACTGAAATGCAGTTGAAGCCTGCTGTATATGGACACTGATATTAGTTTCCTATATACCTTTCTAATAAAAGGAAAACACTTTTTTTCATTTGAAATCATGACAATCAGATTGTCAGCTGATTTCCATTCTCTAAGTCTTCTCCTACATTAAAAATCTTTAAGAACAGGTTCTATAAACATAACATTTTGTTAATTTTGCATATCCATCAGTGTAGTTGTATGCACTCAGTATGTGCATACATAGCCCACGTGAATATATTTACCCAGTATCTAGTGAGCCTAGCTTATGAAGAAATTATATGCAGTATCTCTGATCTCAAAGGCAACAGAAGAGACAAAAAGACCTACATGTAAGGTTCCCATAGGAATGGGTGCACTTGTACAAAAATGTTCTACACCGCTCTCTGCTTCTGCTACTTTGAAGGGTGAATTTCATAAACAGCCTATGCAGTTTCTCTTCTCTGTCCATCAAAATCAGTGACATTAAATGACATTGTTTGGAATATAATTTCCTATAAACAAATTTGCAGTTGCCATAGTATATATCAAAGTCAGCTTTCACATGTAATCTACTCAAAATATTGTGTGGCTGGCAAACTCGTGACATTCCTGCTTAAAAAAAAAAAAAAAAAAAGCATCTGGTCTTAATCACTAGGCCAGCAGCTGCAATAAAACAAACGTATTTTTTGCCCATTAACAAAGGAAACAAGACTCCCCATAAGGCACAGCCATTGCCTCTTGCCCTTCTTCTATCCAATTTTAACTCCTGTAAATAAGGCTTTCCAGGCAGTAATGTCACAGACAAAGAAAAAACATAAAAATTATTTTCTTTTGTCCAATTGCATGGACTGAACAAGATACTAAAGATCAGGTTAATTAAATTCATATTAACTTAGCTACATTTTTGTTGCATTTTCAACTCATGAGAAGTATCTTCACATTATCAGGTGCATTTCAGATGTTTTAGAAGTAGTTGTTAATTCTCTTTGCCATTAGTTTCCTCCTCTCAGTCTTGTCTTCAGTATGATGGACAGTTGTTCCAGCTGCATTAGAAATGGAAGATCTCACACAGTCAAGTTGCCCTTCTTCTGATCCAAACTCTCTGAAGGCCTTTCAGTTCTAAAGTTGGAGGATTGTGGTACAGGACACTGACAGTTTGGAGTTCAGTTATAGTTTAAGACCAGCCATGTGCTATAGACATAGCCCAAAACAGAATGCTGGTTGGGACTTTGGGATATTGTACAACCTCTATCAATCTGCAATCTTGACTGTAAACCAAGATTGCCATATTGTCTGCTTGTCTTGAGGTAATAAGATCTTGTTCTTCCACAAACCAATCTGTTCCCCAATTCAGTAACTGATATTCTCCTTCTGTGTACTTTGGTATAAAGTAACAGCAACTCTACTGCAGGCGAACATAAGCAGTATGAAGGCTTCCGTATAGTATGGTCTCTCCTTTTCTGCTCTCTACTATATATATATCCTGATTTCTTTTCCCTCAGATACAGATGAGTACTCATGCTAACGGTGTGTCACAGAAGAATCAAATTTCTCACATATGTATCTGTTCGACAACAGGAACTCTACCAGACATATTTCTGGATAAAGCCTTGTCAGCTTTTCCAAAATCATACAGTGCACTAGCTGCCCTTTGGATGAGATACAAAAGACAATGTATTTGGTTATTTATCACTCTATGCCATCACAACACAAAGGTATACTGGGCGAATAAATGAGACCAAAAAACATTTCAGAGAATTGTATTCTGCCTAAAAACTCTCTAAGTTAAGTTTGAATGCACAGTGACCATTTAAGTCATCATTCCTTCAGGTCAGTCAAATGGAAGATTTCATCCTAAGTGTAAGAGAGGGGAATTTTCATCCCAAGTATTATTCACTCAAAATTTAAAACACTGATCTGTAAGATATATAAGGAAATAATTGGTCTTTTGGATACATATTTTAAAATGCTCAGGGTAGTTTATCTTATAACAGCAGCTTTTCTATGTTCTAAACATATCTAATACGATATTGCTTCATTGTTTGGCAAGGTCATTTCTCTTCAGGAAAATAAAAAACAATACAAAATAATAAATAAATAAATAAATAAATATAAAGCAGTCTTAATTTTCCTCAAAGACCAAGAGATGGTCTCTGAATTTGGAACCGAACTGAATGAAATGAAAACATGCAAATAATGGGGCACAACCTGCCCTATTATTTGGGGCATAACATACAAATAATGGGGCACTAACACAACCTACCCTGGTGACAATGAACCTGAATTTCACAAAGTATCAGGTGTTAAACCAGAAGGATGAAACAGGGCGCCATCTTAGCTCTAAAAGACAAAATTTACCATCAAACTGCTATCAGTCTTCATGAGGAGTGGTGGGCAGGGGAAATATAGGCTGTCACTGATGAAAAATGTCTTCTGAGCCTTTCTGAAGAATGCATATGAAATGACAATGCAGAAATAGCTTGAAATGGCTGCTGATTCCTAGCCTGCTACACAATTGTTTCTGTTTCTTTGCTTTAACTCAATCATTTACCAAGAACATTGCTTTCAGTGCCCACTCAGCATTAGATAGGATCAGCAGAACCATAGCAAGAAGGAGAGGTGGAGGAGCACTTAGGGGAAGTAGGCATTTCCTTGGCTTAAAGGCCACAGCTGACACCATTGAGAGCTGGGCCTACATCCAGCAGGACCTAGGATGGAGAAAATGAGAGTTACACAGAGCCCCAGGGGAGGGCATCCCCTAATTAGTGCAGGTGTAAGAATTGCACATGCAACTAATTGCATTGATAAGGCTGCTGTGTGACAGATAAATTGCATTCTTTGGCCTAATGCCAGGAATGCATAAACTGCCTTGGAGAATTCTCTTTGAGAACAGCAAAAATTACTATAGCCTTCTCATCTTTGGGGAAATTTTTGAACTTTCTTCCATGCTACTTTTGTCCTGCAAGCTACTAGGGATTTTGTCTTTCCTTCAGGAAGGCTTGATTACTTCTGTTTCCAGAATCTCATTGTTTTTCTTGCAGCAAAGGTTGTTCTGGCTGATGGAATCTTTTTAAATATATATTTTGTTTTACTTTTCCTACCCTTAGCCCTGACAGGTAGTTTACTGGCTTGCTTTCCCTGAGTAAAAATCCTAGTAGAGATTCTGCCATGAATTTTACATAGCTCTCCTCTTCTTTCTCTGCCATCTCTCTCTCTTGGAACCCACTGCACCTCACACCCGTCCCAGACTTTCCTCTCATTCCCTCACACTGCCCCTGCTGTCCCCTATCTGTCATGTTCCTTTTCCGCACAACTCAAACTCACTCTATGCTCATGCAAGCAAAACCCTTTTCATACTTCTGTTGATTTACAGAGGCCGCTTCAGGTCACTACCTCTTATGCCCATAAAAACATTTCTCTTTCTTGCACCCCTGTTTTGAGTGCAGGTCTCCACACGTCCCCCAAGGGCCACCTGAGTGTGTGGAGATGTCCAGTCAGCCAGAAGAGATCCCAGAAAAAGTCCCTCTCCTGGGTTCAAGTCTCTGGCAAATACCTTGCTGTATTTCTGAAGTTTAGTTTTTGCATGGAATTTATAATAACAGGAAAGAGAAATATACAGTCTTTCAGTACTTGGAATGGCAATATCTCATGTGGCTAGGAAAGGTATGTCTGGGAGTATCATATAGCTGTTACTCAGCCTGGAGACAGAGGAGCTTTGTATGGTGTGCTGAAGCTTCTTTAGCAAGTCAGACCAAAATACAGACACACGGCTGAGGCTGTCCTGGCTTAGACTGACACAGACAAGTTTCACACCCAAGCATAAGTCACTATTTTTTCTTATGGCAACAAAATGTTGTGAAGGTGAAAAAATAAATCGCAACATTAGACCCTTCTGACTCCATGTTCAGTGCAAGGCAATCTTTCACTCTTTGCAATCTCGTTTATGCAAGGACGGGATAGTTTTGTATTAAACTAAGTAAGCAAACTAGAGATGAGATTTATGGACCATGCTCAGGCAAGCAGAGGTCAGTGGCATACTCTCTACAGACCTCACAAAGAAGAAACATGCTGCTTTATCCTGAAAATCCATCTTTCTGAAGATGTGAGATAATTTGTAATATTATTAGCTTTATAGTCATGTACAATCAGATGAAGAAGCTATAGCCACTCATATTTTCAGCAGTAACACAGGAATAAAAATATTATGAACAACAGAAATTATTTGTTTCCTATAACTTTCTTATGCTTTGGCTTTCAGTAGTCTAGAAACTAAAAGAGGAAAGTGGAGTTTTCTATTAGAAGAGCTATATAATTTACAAAGGTCTACTTGGAGCAGGATACTTTAAGGCATATCAATGCATAAAGAAAGAAGGACAATCAAGAGAGTCTTGTAGTTTTTTTCATTATGTTTTTTTTTTTTTTTTTTTTTTTTTTTTTTGTGAATATATGCATGTTTAATAATTTTTTCCATAATGTAATTGAAAAGGAACAGATGGAAATACCTTAGTTATAAAGATTAAGATAGGGTTTCCTATAAGTTGCCTTGTTAGAAGTAACGGAATTTTCAAAGCCTACTTGGCAATAGTGCTCCTATTTGGTGAAATTTATGGTCAGAAAACAGCATTCTAAAGGAAGGAAATTGGCCAGTTTCTTCTTTCCATGCAGTACAGAAATTCCCTACACATCATCAGTAGCATAGGTTCTTTTGATGTATATTTAGGCAAAAACATCATTCACAAATGGATATACAGTCAGCATATAAAACATATTTCTGGCAGCAGAAAACATAGTGTCTTACAGAAATTGCATGTAAGCCAAACAGTTTGAAGAAGACATCTTCATGATTATCTGATGGATTCCTATACAAGAGCCAACAGCAGTCATTCCATGCTGCACATGGTGAAGTTACAGCAAAAAATGTACCACAGGCATTGAAATTGTGCATTATACAAAAAAGCCACCCTGAATTCAAGTCAATTTATAACAGAAGCTTCATTTTATTTTTGGCACTATTGCTGCTACATTACATTCTTAAGAATCTGTTAGTGATTTCGCTGCTATATAGTAATGCAGAATAACTAATCACAAATGGCAAAGCAACTGCAGATAATGTAGTTTCAGTTGGTCCGAGAACAGACTTTCGGAAACAGCATTCTGAAATTCTCTGAATTTGAGCTCTACCCAGTCACAGAGAAGCATTTATCAATCCATCCATTTAACGATCAGGACAATATACACAATGACTTTTACAAAGTGCAGCAACAAATGAGCTAAGGAATCCCCCACTTTCTCTTCCTCAAGAAAGTCATGGTTTCTATGGATTGTCAGTGTCTATATAGCTAACTCTCAGTTCAAGATTATTGTTTGTCTGTGTGATTGTTTTTCCACAGTGCACTGAGTTAACTTGATATTTGTTCTGTTTTTCAGAGATGTCTGTCCAAATGCAGGATGTATTGAGATTTCTGTTATCATTTCCAATTATTCCTTCTTTCACCAAGAGAAAATGAACACCTCCAATTAAAACATTTTATGAGATAATCCAGATATCACTGGAGGAGTTGCAAATAGAGTCTATGCTGCACATAATTACAGGAAATAGTAAAAAAATAAACTAAGATTTGTAAACAAAAGAAAAACACAATAAGAGTTGATTTGAAATAGAGAGAGTGAGATTTGCTATTTCTTGTTACCCAGAAATCTACTGTTTTAGCCAAGTCTTGCACTGGTCCACATTATTTCAAAATTTATCTTCTGCTGTCATTGCTGCAGAACCACCACATTGGTTCAAATATACCAGTTAGTTAGTGTAGGTGTATGAAAAGTAATTGCAGTTGTCCCCAAATCACCAAACAGTGATATTATATGTAACAATTTTTGAACACAAGACTTTCTGGACTTCCCCAAACTTCCTTCCTCTGAGAAAGAACCTGAGAAGTCAGTATCCTAATATATCATGCATAAGCATTTGGTATTTTTTAGCTGGATGTGATGTCCAAATTGTTTTGTCTAAGACATCCTCCACTTTTCTTATTATTATATCAATATATCCTTCTATTAGTAAGCTGCTAATAAATTAATAATAAACTAAAAATATACTTTTTTTTTTTTTTCAGAATAAAATAAAGATAATGCTTAAATCACACAAACACATTCCTTGAGGAATGTAATCTATTACTTATCTGTAAGTGCGTCTAAATATTTTCAACAAAAATAACTTTGTTATGGCATTAAACTATCTTAACAAATGAAAAACCCTATAAACATCTTTAGCCTAATTCCTGTGAGAAAATTGTTCTCATAACTATTGCCATTTCCTGCAGCTTCAAAGTTCTGTCTGGAGAGTCTTCCTTTATGTAAAATCATAACTCTTTCTGTACTGACTTCCTCTTGGCACTGACACTAGTTCCAGTTCAGAGGAGGGTGATGTAACATTTATAAAGGCTGAAGCAGGTATGCTGATAAAACTTGTAGCCAACTGCAGCTGTCTGCATCTGTTCAAGGGGAAACTCCCTTCTCAGTATGAAGTCTGATCAACTGAGCTTTATAAAAAAAGTACCATATTGTGGGGCAGCCCTCTAGTGCCTGCTCTCCAAAAGCAGGAACAAGGTGATGGCATCACACCCCCACAGTACACAGAGTGGGTCAGAACCAAGGTGCTAGCAGCTGGTCCCATGCCCTCTCCACAATCAATCTCCAATTATACTTTGAAGGAAAAAAAAATAAATCCCACTCAGAGAAGAAACTGAATCCTTTCAAGTCATTGGCTCCACATCACATGAAACTTTTCTATTTTTTACCAGTACATTAAAATTCTGTGTACACTTGTGCACTCAGGCACATTTAAAAACAATACTTATTCATAATGTCTAGGCATCCTTGCTGTAAATAAATAAATAAATAGATATTAACCACATTGACTAAAAATAAAAATAAAAAATTCAATGTAATACTCTGACACAGCTTAAATACAATGCAAGCCTTTAAGAATACTTCTTTGGGAGCCTGAAGCAGAGATGGCAGAGCTGTCTGCAGGGCATGTATTTTGTTTTCATAGCAATTTTCAAAGTTTCATCATTTTTAGTTTTTCACGGAAATAATGCCAGAAAGAAATTGGGTGTCAAGAGCCAAACATTTCCATTCAAAAGGCTTTCTGGTGACTGGGTGTTGAAACTATGGGTCTGATGATCAGAATACATTTTATCACCCCAAAGTATTCTGCAACAGGTGGAAGATGACCTGAATAGGATCTGTCATCATTTCAGCTCAATTCCCTCACTGCCGTTCCACTGAATGTGAAGCACCATGAGTAACTGAAAACCTTTTCTAAAGAAAGGCTTATTTACACTAAAAGGAACTTAACCAAAAGTATCCTGAACAATGGCAAAAGGAGGCACTTCAGAAGGTAAGGGCATTAACAAGCCACTTTTGTAAGATCAGGAGCCTGTCTAACCCTGTCTTTTCCAATGGTCTGTTGCAGAAAGTAAAGGAAGTGAATAAGAAAAATAGAATATAGAATCATATACCCACCCCTTTACATAACTCCAACCTCTCAATAAATAAATGAATAAATAAATAATGAAGAATTAAGTTATTTTGGGAAAAAAAAAAGAAAAGTCTACTGACAAATCTTTTCGTCTACTGCAGACTTCTGCAACTGTTCAAGGATGAAATTTGTTTCTGCTTCCAGGAAAAATATCAGCAAGTTTCAAACAAAGGGACAATAGCATGGTTCAGACTTCCTAACTCTGTTGATTGGTATCCAGGCATGAGTATTTAGTCATTTTCACCAAGACTTTGTACATATTTTCCAAGGCCTGGATCAGAATTCCCACCTACAAATACCAAATTCATGAAACTAATTTTTGTCACAATTATATCAGTGCAACTCTGCTGTAACTATAATGAAAGCACAGCAAGATGTTATCATTGCTATTTATCTCTAGATAGTCTTATTTATGCCAAAGAATGACTACAGCTAATTTTATACCCCGTGGTTCTGCTGTGAACTGTTCAGCTCCAGCCAGTATCTGGCTTCATTACTATCACATTTCCTGGCTCCTGCTTCCCACAGCTCTGCAGATCAGTGTGTGAAGACTAATATGGTGCTATTCGGTCATATCCCCAAAACAGTGTTTTCCCGGTACACTCACCCTTAATTCTTTGGTGGGGAAAAAAGGA